TGGAAATCACTTCATATTCTTATTAGTCAGGACTAGGTTTGGTTACTCTGTAGGATTTATTAGTTATTTGTGGGTAGAGAAGCTTCATTGTTTTCCTTTTTGTTTTAAAGATCCAGAGTCTTGCTTGTTTTGTTTTGTTCTTAGAAATTGGTGCTGAGATGGCTATATATATATAGTTCTTCGTCCTATTTACGTAGTTGATTTGTTTTTGTGAATGTTGATATCTATTACTCATGTTTATGAGCCAATTTTGGTTTGATCTATAGTATGGATTGTTTAACTTTTTCGTACCGCATATATACGAATGTAATGTTTCGCCCGCTCGTAACGGAACTGCTTCTTTTTAATTTTGGTGCACAAATAGCACTCTGCAACAACAAAAAATTGCAAGTGGTTACCTTTACAAAATATTTACATATCATGCAAAAACTTATAACTTTAATTATTAAAATTAATTAACTTATTTATTGATTTGTAATTATTTTTTAAAATTTGCAATGAATTTCACTAATTAAACTAATCAGATTGGACAGAGCTACCTCAGTTGTTTGGAGATAATTTTTTGATAACTACTAATTCAAAGGCCTTGAATTTAAGGACTATATAAACGTGCAATGGTCCTTTAGGATGTGCGATAGTGACATCTTGTTTGATAGTTTTGGTTAAATAGATTTTAAAATTTTAAATTTCATCAAAACTAAATGAGGCATTTATTCATAAATTCCTTTCTATCTATTTATGTTCCAATAAGTCCTACTTGGTGACATAGTTATCCAACTACCCCTAATAATAATAAGGTGGAGCTCATATTAATATTAATATTCACATTGATAATATAAATATTTTATAATGTGAACATTCACAACCCCAAGGCAGGTGGCCGAGCGGTAAAGCTTGGAGGATAAAATCCACAGGTCTCGAGTTCGAGTCACACCTTGGGGCCACTGGAGGTTTGCCCGGTCGTTAACTTCAGGGCCCTGAGATTAGTCGAGGTGCGCGAAAGCTGGCCCGGACACTCAGTTATCAAAAAAAAGCAATCAGTCTTCTTCGTAACATAAGTGAATCTCATTTTCAATTTCAAAACCTTGGATTCAATTTTCAACGCCCCGTCAAATAAGTAACATATCCCCGTTGATTGGACCACTAAATTAAATGTATTCTAAATCAGAAGAGTCCAAAGGCAAAAAAATATCTAATTACCAAATTGAATTGAAAAAATATCTGATTACCGAATTGAATAGAGTTTTATATTCGAAATAGTATTACATACATCAATTAATATAATAATTAAGAAAAATATTATAAATTTTAAATTTTTTACTAAATAAATGACCAAATGTTTCATATGAATAGACCTACACTTTTGTAGACCTCATTTGATCATTTATTTGGTAAAAAATTTAGTATGTCTAACATTACTCATCAATTAATATACCAATATATATTATGACACGGTCATTTTAAAATTATGAAAAAATTATAATAGAGCAATAGTAGAGGGCCACAAAAACAGTGGCTCAAATAGCTCAAAATTGCCAAAATAACGTCGTTTTGGGCACAAAACATGTCAAAACGATGTCGTTTTGGCAGCTTTGAGCCATTTGAGCCACTGTTTTTGTGGCCCTCAAACATTTTTCATTATAAAAATTCAAAATCTCTAAAATTATGCCACTGTTAATACACTAATTGATATTTAAAAAAATTAAATTACTAACATCAGCAAAATTTATTAGTTGACTTAACAGTCAACTAACTAAGAGAACAATCTGTAATGAAATTTTAACTCTCAGAAAAGGAAATGTAATTTTCAAAAGATGAGTGAAAAATTATAATAAACATAAACTTCAAGGGATGTCAACGTAATTTACTCATAAAAAAAAACTATTCTTGTCCGTAACTTTCAAGTTTGACTATTTCCAAGAATGATGCAATTTACTTTTTGGTCATCAACTGAAATTCATAAGTTGGTTGTTGAATTGTTTTCATAAATAGTAACACGTTCACAAATAAGACATACTTCCTGTTATTACGTGAAAGTAAACTTAAATTTCGGTGCCGTGCAAGAAGGGTGAGAAATTGTTTCTAAGTCAAAACTTTGACATAATTGTGATGAGTTAGAGCAATCAGGGTGTGAAATTGTTTCCAAAATCAAAACTTTGACAAAAATTGAGATGAGTTAATTTACCCACGGGGCGGCACATTGGATAGCTCGAGCTAGATTAGGAGGGTCTCTTCCTGAAAATTTGGTGGCTAGTCCCCCTTCTTGTCTCGTTCCTCACTTGACTTCTTTCAATATATAATTGGTTGTTTCGATCAAAATAAATAAATAAAAATTTACCCATCATAAGTTAAACAAATATTTATAAATATCTTTTATGAATTCGTTTAATTCAGTTGACCTCTCATCTTTTAATTGTGAGATTAGAGCGTCCAACGCTTACTCTTTTTTTTTATCAAATTTAAATTTGATGAAAAAAAATTAGTTTTGGTACTCCAACGTTAACGCCAAACTAATATCAAATTGAAATGTTTTTAAACTTTTCATCAAATTAAATATGTCTGGAGCCTTTCATTAAATTGATGTAGTAGCCGTTGGGACCATACACAGAATGACTGACCAATTGTCCTCCCAGACAGCTTTTTCCTTGCTTCAAACTTCTAGTAAATTTATACTAACCGGTCGATTGGCTAAACATCCTCCCGATGGTTTGATAAAAAATAATAATTTTCTATTGGAATACTCAATATATGAAGCTTTTACTCAAATTTGATGGGGAAAAAAAAAAGTAAACATTAGAGATACTTTTAGAGTCAATTTTTGTCAAAAATAAAGATTAATTATTTTTCCTTTATGAAGGAATCTTCTTTTTTTTTTTTCTTTCCTTTCTTAAGCCTCTTTTGGTAACATCTAAAAAAATTAGCTTATTGATTTATAAATTTACTAGCGTATGCCCGTGCCTAAAGGCACGGTGTAAATAATTTTAAGATTAAAATGTAGTTATAATTTATACAGTTTGTGTCATTTTTTGATAAAGACATTTCAACATTGTTATAAGTTCTTTAAGGAGAAAAATATTTCAATATATTTTTTCAGTATCTTTATTAAAAAATGACACAAACTTTATAAATTTCAACATAATACGTATAAATTATAACCGCATTTTAATCTTAAAATTATTTACACCGTGCCTTTAAGCACGGGCATATGCTAGTATCACAATATTAGAAAAATGAGAGTAATCTACCTAAGTAGAGTAATCAACCTAAAACTCTATCTTTTATGTAGTAAGTCAAATTTGATGGGGAAAAAAAAAGTAAACATTAGAGATACTCTTAGAGTCAATTTTTGTCAAAAATAAAGATTAATTATTTTTCCTTTATGAAGGAATCTTCTTTTTTTTTTTTCTTTCCTTTCTTAAGCCTCTTTTGGTAACATCTAAAAAAATTAGCTTATTGATTTATAAATTTACTAGCGTATGCCCGTGCCTAAAGGCACGGTGTAAATAATTTTAAGATTAAAATGTAGTTATAATTTATACAGTTTGTGTCATTTTTTGATAAAGACATTTCAACATTGTTATAAGTTCTTTAAGGAGAAAAATATTTCAATATATTTTTTCAGTATCTTTATTAAAAAATGACACAAACTTTATAAATTTCAACATAATACGTATAAATTATAACCGCATTTTAATCTTAAAATTATTTACACCGTGCCTTTAAGCACGGGCATATGCTAGTATCACAATATTAGAAAAATGAGAGTAATCTACCTAAGTAGAGTAATCAACCTAAAACTCTATCTTTTATGTAGTAAGTTTGTATTTGTAAACTTGTTACATATCTTTTGTAGGTTAGGGCAAATTACCGTGGGTAAAACTGATAGCTTGAACTGCCCTCAATTATGTATTCATTCGGCGGAAAGATGTTGCTATTGAGACTGGACCGACCGCAAGATTAAGCTTGAGTCTGCATAAAAGCCCAATTCAAGTAAAATTAATACATTAAAGACTATCAAATCTTGTGAATTTAATAGTTTGTTGAACTTAATTAGCAAGAAAAACAAAGTAAGGGTGTTGAATACTCACAGAGGCTGACTATAGGTGGTAAATTCGCAAGCTTTGAATAACTTATTCCCTGCAGTGTGAGATAAAATCGACATGAGATCTGGGAAAAAGGTATAGATTTTCTTCTTTGCTATATATTTTTCTGGGATAGTATATGACCCCAATATGTGACATAGAACAAATAATTTTCCTAGCCGTTTAGTTGTGTTTCTGTTTGTAGTTTTTTTGAAAAACGAAGACAATGAAAAATTCTAAAAATGGCCATCATTTTAATATTTATGATTATATACACATATGAATACTCGAAAATAAGTACTTGTTTAGTTGTGTTTTCATTTTCTGTCATCTGTTTTTCATTTTTGGAAAAATACCCAGAAATGTGACATAAAACTGGATAATTTTCCAACATAGCCCTGTTTGGTTATGCTTTTGTTTTCTTTGTTTTTCATGCTTTAAAAAATTAAAAAAAAAACCAAAAAAAGGAACAATGAAATGTTAAAATAAAAAATAAAATAAAAAAGTGATTTTTTTCATTGATAAGCAAAAACCGGCTGCTATGAAGAATGAATAATGCCCCTGCTCTCATGAGTCATATCCCCAGTTTAAGGTGAATACACAATGAAATCTATTGAAAATCCATATGCCAAAGATTAATGTTTAGGTAAATTAGAAAGAAATAGGATTTCTGGTGCAATATCTTTATATGACTTAATAGATTGGGGTGTTTCTATAAAAGTTAAAATAAAAAAGTGGTTTTTTTCATTGCTAAGAAAAAATGGTTTACGAAAATTCGAAAAATAATTCCTAAAAAGTGGGTTTTGTTCATTACAAAAATTTAATTAAATAAAAAAAGGTCACCAACCAACCTTTTTATGTTCGTTCAAAAAACAAAACACCAACCTTTTTACCTGTTTTTTGAAAATGACATTATGTGTCCGAGCGTCTCTGATTCTAAAGGCATGACGAAAACATCTCCGCTGGCGTATGCTTGAGAGAGCTCTTCACCTCCTAACATCCCTGTAAATACGGCAAGCATGCTGGAGAACAGCTTTTCCAGATCCTCCCTGCCACGAACAAATCATTCTAGATGAATAAATTTTGCCCATGGTTCTTACTGGAAAATAAATTCAGACGATCATCATAGCCCAATTTGTGTATCATTGGATGTAAGCAAAAATATAAAAATAAATAATTCATTTCGTTAGACAGCGGTTTGTGGTTTTTAATACAAAGAATCATTTTATACTATATTCTATAGAGATTGCTCCGGCAATGTTGACAAAACTAAACAGCCAATAAGTCCTTAAAGAAATACATGTATGGTCCATCTCCAATAAAAGCAATTCGTGCCTCCGGTATCTGGTCCATGGCATTGTTCAATCATACATCCCAAATGTCAATGGTTACAACTTATAATAATTATGAAAAAAGCATTATTCCGTCAATATTTTGCAAGTAATATTTCCTATATTGCAAAAGCATAAAATACTTATCATTTGAAATAAAAGAGCAGTACCTTTTGAGTAAATCCAAACTCTTCTCAACTCCTAGTCGTCCAACATGGACTATCAATGGTCTCTCGGGCTCCCCATTGCTGAATAAAAAAAGAACAAAATAAAAACTGCAGAAATGGGATGGAAGAAAGCCATACCTTAGTCTTATTCGGGCTCCCCATTGCTTTCTCAAGCCATACCTTTAGAGGAAACTCATATTTTATTTCTCTGAAATTTTAAGGATTGAAAGAAAGCCATACCTTAGTCTTATTCGCATTTCTTGAGAGCGATATTTGGGATGGAAGCTTTCGGAATCAACACCCTTATTACAGAGACGAATCTTGTTACCTGAAAATAAACAAAGAATTAACATGGATATGAGATGCTATTTTCAGAGAAACATTTGAAAAAAATAAAATAAAAATTCAAGCAGAAGCATAAATGTCAAATTCTGTTATGTGATCAATGTGAAATTTCAGAGAGTTATCTATTGGGCGATGTTCATTTACCTGCTGTTACCCTAGCTGCTTCAAGCTCCTTTGCAAGGGCAGCTGATGGAACCAGTGTAAGATCAGCTGCCCTATGAAGAAACTCTGTTAAGAAAAGAACAAAACTTTCATTTATTAGTTCACAAACACGAAAAGTCAGAATCCATGTGAAATTGAGGCTAGAAACAAAAGTTCACGTACTTATGACCCACGACATAGGTTTGACCAGCCAACTAAAGGTGTATCTTGGTATGTATCTGCAAATCAAAACAGGAATCAGGTTCAACCCTTGTGGGGTGGCAAGCACACTGTGCAATTCCCAAAGATGATATGAAAAAAATTTATTGATACAAAGAAATTTTATTTGATTTATATCAGCAGATTTTATTTTATAACAAATCAAATGTTGATTAGAAATAAAATCTACACAGAGATTAAAAAGTGAACTTCGAAAGATGACTAATTTTACAAACATAGTTTACATGAATTTACAAAGATACTGTGTTACTTCGCATCACAATCAAGATCAATATTCCCATAGAGAAAGCTCAAGCAATTCATTAGAAACCGTCATCACAATCAAGGATGATCCACTTGACTGACTTTAATTGGATTCAATTATAAATGCACACATGCCTCACATGCAATGGAGAATTAAAAATGTTGAGTCCCATAAATAACCACCTAGATTGGAATTCAAAAATGCATTCTCGTACTATAATGTCTGGCCCATGCCAAATTGGCTATACACAGGTACATTTCTCATGAATGGAAATTAGTGTGTATTCCTGCTAGAATGACTAAATTTGTGTCCTCTCCACCTTTCTAGATGCTCAATGATTGGTATGATAGAGAGATTGATGCTATTAATGAACCTTATCGTCCTATTCCTTCAGGGGCAATATCTGAGAATGAGGTACGGAATGTGATTAATTATTTTTTTTATACGCGAATGAGCACCAGAATTCATGTATTTTCGGATTTTTTTTTTTGGGAAAAAGAAAACAAATCTTTTAAAATTCCTTCACTCGGGTGATTACCCAAATCTGGGTACTGCTTTTGGGAGGCCTTGGGTCAGCTGGTTTATTGAATTATTTAATAGGTGGCCAGTGATCTATTTTTCTTCTCATAAAGTATTTAAAATGAATTGCCGTCCTTGAATGTCATCTATTTTTCTTCTCATAAAGTATTTAAAACAATCTCATAAAGTATTTTTCTTCTCAAATTCATATTTAAAATCCTTCAATTATCCAAATTCAAAAGTCATTCATATTTCAAATTCTTATTTCAAACTTTGGAGGTCTTCATAGATATGGTCAACAGACCTTAAAACTCATAGGATCTTCACAGATAGCTGCAAGCATAGCTTCTTCTCCTTCAAAGACAAAAGCAGGACCTGGCAAATAATTTTTGCAATCATCTCTTCAATACAACAGGTAATATTGAAATGATAATTCCCCGAGTTGAGAAAAACAATCAAAATCAGAACCAATCTGGAGCAACACAAAATTAAAAACAATGATGTAACAAAAACAGAGGGTAAGATCGATGAATAGCTGTAATCCAGATACAAAATTAAACAAACCCAGATCACAAAATCATCAAAAAAAACATAGAATCAAAGAACAGAGAGATCCCATTATTAAAATAACTGTAATCCAGATCGATGAATAGCTGTAATAACTAAAGAATAACATGTTAAAATAAAAACATTAATAAACTTTGCTTGGAGAGATAGAGAGAGAGAGAGAGAGCAGACCTCAGAAGACCCAGAAGGCTTGTGGGAATTGGGTTTCCAGAAACCGATTCCACCGAATCGACTCGCTGCCTCCTTCACAGACTCGAAAGGCGCTGACGTGTCGATTTCAGCCCTCATCTTCATCTTCTTCCCCGAACCCAGTTCAGCTTCGCTCTGTCTGAGTCCAATTTCGACACTTTTTGCTTCACCCCCAAGTGAATCTGTCTCTAGTGTTTTCGAAACAAATTGGGTAAAGCAATCTGAGTCCTCAGCAGCCATTGAAACCTCAATCCAAAACATAAAACTTGTGGATAATGAACAATGATTATCCCAAACAGAGAGAGATGTATTAAAGAACAGAGAGGGAGAGGGAGAGAGAGATAGAAAGGGAAGGTGGGGAGGCAGACGTGGGTAGGTGGGAAAGACAATAATGCTTAGGAGAGAAGTCTTGGGCGGGAGGTGTATTGATCTTAATCGTTAATATATTCTTAGAATTGATTTCAGCCATTGGATTAAAATGTATCTCACATACATTTTGATATATTTTTCAAAAACCTTTGTGCCTTATTATATAGATTTAGGTTATATAATCTTTTTATTTTTCTACACATCTTTTCAAAATAAATAAAAAAATTAATTTATAAGTCATATTTAAAACAATCCTTAAGGTTGTTTATTTCTCTATTTTAGGACTCTTTCTTATTAACAATCTCTCTTTCTTTTGCCACTCTTTTTCTCTATCTCTCTCTTTGTTTAGGAATTATAGAGGAAAAAGTAAGGTGACTGGGAGGCTAAAAAGGGGAGAGCGGAAGTGAGAATGGCAATAGAGATAGGAATGAGGGGGCGAGAGAGGCTAGAGATGACTCAGAGATGGGCTGACGGAGGTTAAAAGAGGTTAGGAATGGACTGTTAAGGAGTCGAGAATGGACAAAAGATGGTGCAGGTGGGATGTAAGAGTTAGCACCAACTAAGATTGAAATTTCGAAGGATCAGGAATGAAAAATACTAATAAGCTTAATGTAAGTATTTAAAAACAAAATAAAAATAAAAAATTAGGGATTTGGGGTGGCTCGTGTTAGAGGCATAGCAGCTATTGTTTATTTTAATAATTCAAATCGTTCACATTTTAGATGACATTAAGTGAGCATATTTGTAAAAAAATTAAGTTAATCAGATACCTTTAATTCTTTCATCCACTCACATTTGTATCTATAAAAATAAATAACAGTTACAATTTAAAATATTAAAATAAATATAAATATAAGTGGATAAAAAAATTAATGACATCCGATTAATTTAATTTTTTTAAATATATTATACTCAATATAGTTTAAAATATAAACGATTAAGATTATTAAAAGGAACTCTAAAATGAGCCTATCAGCTGCAGCCATTCATTTATTAGTGACAGTTTTAAAATTTTGTCGCTAAAAGCTTATGTTTTGACTTTTCGAGACAATTTCTTAGTGACTGTTCTTGCTACAACTAAAATTAGTCCCTAAATATTTTTCAAGGTAGCATATATTTAGGGCTGCAAATAAATCGAGCTGTTCATGAATAAGCTTGGCTCGACTCGTTAAGGGCTCAGCTCGGCTCGGCTCGTTTAGTAAACGAGTCGAGCTCGAGCTCGAATATTAGGCTTGTTTAGTAAACAAGCCGAGCTCGAGCTCGCATAAGCTCGGCTCGTTTATCTTTATTTAAATTATATAATAAATATATTATTTATATATTAAATCATATATAAATACATTATTTATATATTAAAAATATATAAATAATAATATAAATACATTTTTTATATATTAAATAATATAAATAATATTTTTTATTAAATATTTATATTTAAATAATATAAATAATATTAAAAAAAATTACCGAACCGAGTTCGAGTTTCATTAAAATTAACGAGCCGAGCCGAGCTCGAGCCCAATTTCTTATCGAGCTAAGTTCAAAATCAATAAACGAGTTTAATAAGTAAATGAGTTGAGCTTAATCTCAACAAAACTTGACTCGATTCGATTCGTTTGTTGTGGTAGGGACAAGCAATCAGTCATCTTCATAACATAACTGAATCTCATTTTCAATTTCAAAACCTTGGATTCAATTTTCAACGCCCCGTCAAATAAGTAACATCTCCCCGTCAAATCAGAAGAGTCCCAAGGCAAAAAAATATCTAGTTACCAAATTGAATTGAAAAAATATCTGATTACCGAATTGAATAGAGTTTTATATTCGAAATAGTATTACATACGTCAATTATTTTAATAATTAGGAAAAATATTATAAGTTTTAAATTTTACTAAATAAATGACTAAATATACTTTTGTGAACCTCACATTCATATGAGATATTTAGTCATTTATTTGATAAAAAATTTAGTATCTCTAACATTACTCATCCATTAATATACCAACATATATTATGACACAGTCATTTTAAAATTATGAAAAAATTATAAAAATTCAAAATTTCTAAAATTATGTCACTGTTAATACACTAATTGATATACCAATCGATACATATAATTTTATTCTATTCAAAATGTTGATCCATTTGTGGTCTTTATTACGTCATAATTAAATCCTTTTGCAGTTGTAACTATAAAAGAAAAAATCATAATTAAATATCATACAAAATATAATTAAAAAAATTGAATCATAATTAAAATACTAAGTAACATCACCCCGTTGATTGAACCACTAAGGTCTATTTTGACATCTGGATTAAAACTCAAATTTTTAATTTTTTGACTTTTTTAACTCGCATCACCTTTTTATTTTATTTTTTGCACGTTTTTATAATTAAAAAAAATCAAAAAAAAAAAACCTGACTTTTAAATAAGCCTAAAATGTATTCTAAATCAAAAGAGTCGCAAGGCAATAAAAAACCTAATTATCAAATGACTAGAGTTTTATATTAGGTCCAGTTTGTTTCATGTTTGAAATCAGCCCAATTTGGCCCATGGGATTATTTTTGGGCCCATTTTGATAATTTGAACCATTCAATATGTAGAACTCGTCAAGTACTATATCCTTGTAAAAATTCAAGTTAATCGGATATCGATAACTATATAACCAGATCAAATTTGTATAAATAAATGGATGGTGAAAAAATAAATGATTGACAGAATTCTGATCCGATCAAATAATTATCGATATCCGATCAAAGTAAATTTTTGTAAAGATATAGTACTTAACGAGTTCTACATATTGAACGATTCGAAATATCGAAACGGGACCCAAAAATAAGCCCATAGACTGAATTGGACAGTCCAATCTTGATCTCAAACATGAAACAAGCTGAACCTTTTATATTCAAAATGTTGATTCATTTGTGGTCTTCATTACGTCAACTAAGGCCCCGTTTGGGGAGGGGCTAAAAAAGTAAAAAAACTAATATAAGTTGTCAAATTATTCTCTACTTTTTTTTTTTACATATCTTTTAATAAAAAATCAAAAAGTTACTAAAAAAAACAACCAAACACCCCGTAAATCCTTTTGTGTCCTAATTATAAAAGAAAAAGCCATAATCAAACCTCATATAAAGGTATAACAAAAATATATATATATAATTAGAATAATATTTATAACTAGCATCATAATGATTTATAATTAAGTTATAACTAACATCACAAAAATTATAATAAAGATCAAAATTGTCTTAATTAGAACGTATGGTATACACCCCAAAAGGTGTTATAGAATCCCTATTATGATAGATGTTTGAGAAAATAACAAAAAAAATCTCAGAGTTTGATCTTTGTAACAAAATAAATTCTAATTTTTTTATTTTGTTAATTTAAAGTTTAATTGTTAATTTGTTTATAATTTAAACCATTTGTCTATTTTTATTAAATAAAACTGATGGATTAGTCATTAAATTGAACAAAAAATAATATTTCAAGCATTTTATATACACCTACATTGAGTTTAATAGCTAAAATATTTTTTTTTTTTTTGTTAGTTTTACTTGACAAAAATAGAATTAGAATTTAAATTAACAAATTAAAATTTTTAATATTTATTTTGTTACAAAAGTCAAATTCTAAGATTTTCTCTATTTTTTTAAAAAAATAGCAATTTTCGGGTGCTTTCATTACTTAAATCTATTATTAATAGATATATTAATACAATAATGACATGGTCATGATAGATTACTTTAGTGTCGGTGTTTATTCGTAATAAATTATTACAATGCATAAAGTTATAATATGTCGTTAAATTTAGGAAAAATTACTTATTAGTGGTCCTATTAAAAAAAATATTACAGAATTATAAAAGAAATTATAATTCTAATTATTTATATGTATAAAGTTTATCACTTGTCTGTAGTTTTTATTTTTATTTGTATTTTAAACCATACATTGAATTGAAATTCCCTCTTCAATTTAAAATTAATCATCTATAAGTTTGACTTTTTTATAAAGTGAAAAAAGTTAGTGTATTTGAAATGATTTTTTCAATTGAATATATAGTTATGAAGAAGAAAAAAAATTTAATAGGTATCGTATGATATTTTGATTCTTTTGTAATTTTTAAATTTTTTTAATTAAAAGATTGATTACCAAAGGAGACCTTAATAAAAATATGTGATTTTTTCACAACAATTTACACGGTATGATGCAGAGAGGAGTATTCATATCCCCATTTTTTAATTAAAAATCAACTAAATATTATATGAATTAGAATTTTAAATTAATTAATTGAATATAATTATGATAAAATTATATAAGTTATTACATTTTTTCAAAATTTTAGAGCCCAGTTTATGTGTTGGACTAGGTTGGATAAGATTATTTATATAATGAGTTTGAATGAATATATTATTAACATGATAATATTAAGTTGAAAATGTAAGATAAATTGTGTTGTGTACTAATACCATGATATTAGTTAGATGAAATTAAATGTATAAAATTACGTTAAAATTCTCATTATGTAAAAAATAACTTTGTTACATGGAAAATTCTCCATTCTGCATTGCACACTGTATGCAAGCAACAATATATAATATTATGTAATTTTTCATGAATTTACATAAGTAATCTCATAAAAATGAGTATATTGAATAAAAATTTACGTAATCATGTAAGTTTTCACGAATTTACTGAAATCACTTGTGTGTCTCTTTTTTTTTTTTTTTTTTTGTCTAATTTTCTTTTTAGGGGTGATTTGGAAAGTTGGTTAAAAGTTGACTTTTTGAATTTTTAAACTTCTTTTAGCTTTTTTTATGTGAAAAATGATATGACCAAAAAAGGGTTAAAAGCTAACTTTTGATTTTTTTAAAATTTGTTCCCAACCGATCCCTTAGTCTATCCCAAAATATTTATTTCTTTTTATTTTAGGTTTTGAAATTTTTTAGACTTTTAAAATTGCCCATTATACACAAACATAAACATGTTTTAAAATTCAAAATCAAAAAATATTACGATAAAAATATTTTAAATTTTAAATTAGTATATAATAATTATTTGTCTCCTTAATAAGTTAAATTCTTTAAAATAAATAAATATATTGGGACAAAAGGAAAGGAGTAGCACATATCTCTCATGTAATTCCATTCAATGCCATCTTTTAAAATAATGGTGGTGTTATATGTATTAATTAGTGTATTAATATTAGTTATAACATTATTATTGATGGATAAGGGGTCACCATTGTGCGTGAGGCACAGCAGTGACTGTAGTGCATCTATTTGAGGTGTATTATGGCCTTATTTTTATGATCCAAACCGTCTATTTTGTAGGGTTTGTTGAGTACTTCATGCCTACCAAAAATCATATTAATCGGATATCAACAACTATATGATCGAATTGCATATTATTTATGTTAGTTCTCAAAATAAAACTTATTATTTATTTTTTTTGGTTATTGATCATATAGTTGCTGATATCCGATTAATATGATTTTTGATAGGCATGAAGTACTCAACAAACCCTACAAAATGGACGGTTTGGATCATAAAAATAAGACCATAATACACCTTAAATGGATGCACCACAGTCACTGCTGTGCCTCACGCACAGCAGTGACCCCTTATCCATTATTGATTCCACTCATTAAACAAATTTTAAATATCACAAACTTCTTAAATTATATCACATCATCAATTGATATACTAATTAATACACTAACAATATTCTTAAGGGCTAATTTAGGAAGTGGATTAAAAGTTACTTTCCAACTTTTAACCCACTTCCCTCTCTCGCGAAAAAGGAAAATTCTATTTTCACACACTTAATTATCTCAATTCAAATCATTTCTCAATATACACACTTTATAATTTAATTATTAATTAATTTTCTCAATCTACACACTAAATGTATCAATTATACCCTTCACTCATTTCATTGTACACACACCCTTTCAACCCTCCTTTTACACACTTGTCCCTCTTTTCACATGCATTGCTACTGCTACGATTTGAAATTTTGTAGACTCACAATGCTACAACAATCAAAGTAAAGATCCACAATGAAGAATTTTGCTCTATTGAAGACCTCAATTCTCAGAGAAAAGAAAAAAAAAAAAAATTAATCCAGTTCTTCTTCTTAATTAATTTTAGTTCCTCTTCCTAGTTCTTCAATCATAAACCAAAGAGATATGCAGAGAGATAAAATTAAATAAATAAAATGAAACGAAATGAACTGAGTAGATATTAAACATATATAAGGAATTGACGAAACCCAAAACCCTAGATCGATATAAATAAAGAAAACAACATGGGAGTACTCAATCTTAGCTTCTTTTTTTTTTCTTTTTTTTTTCGAGTATTTATTTAGTTTGGTTTCTTCACACTTACCATTGATTGGAGAATTAATAGAGTGCCGATTTCAAGGAATCAATGAGTGTGAATCGTTCGTATTATATGTATCATATCATCGTCCCAGTCACTCTGTAACAACAATGGTTCTCATTCTCAAAAATTCAACCCGATGCTTTCCCCTTCAATCCTGGGTTGAGTCGACCCAGTCCTCTATTGGAAAACCTCACTTCTTAGATAATAATAATAATAATAATAATAATAATAATAATAATAATCCTCAACCCAGTTCTTCAATTTTCTTAATTAATTTTAGTTCCTCAATCCAGCTCTTCAATTATAAACCAAAGAGCATTTTATGTTGATAAGAAGATAAACAAAAAATAATCAATCATAAACCAAAGAGTAGAGCACATTCACGGTTTTTTTTAGGACTGTGCTTCACTGGTTAACAATCCTCAACCCAGTTCTTCAATCTTCTTAGTTAATTTTAGTTGAAAATGAAGCAAAAAAAAAAAAAAAAAATGCAATCTCTCTCAGCAATGTGACAACAATAGAAAAATTAGGGTTTACTTCTTCTTCTTCTTTTTTTAATTCAAAAGATGTATATTGAGTTTTTTTATTCTTAAAAGATGTGTATAGAGAATTTTTTCATATAATATTATAAATGTTGTTAGATATCTATTATGGTCATTTTTATTTACGATATAAATGTCATTAAATTAATATTTTGTTAAATGTGTGTCATGAGCTATCTATGTGGGTAGAATTAGAATTTCTCCACAAAAAAGTTTTAAAAAAAATCAAAAAATAATTATTAACTACCTTTCTCAAAATACCTCTAAAATAAACATGATGGATGAGTAAAATTTTCTCAAAATGGTTTGTCAATAAAGTAGCTACAATCCAACGAATAAACTTTCGGACTCGGGACCACAGCAGTTAGTGAGTTCTTAAAAGCAAAGTTCAACCTCCACAACCACGCATATTTCGTACTTGTATATTCACGTTCACAAGTTTTATAATAGTCCACAGAGTTGTTATTAGCCGTACGATTCGATCGAGAGGTTAAGGATCATCATCAAAATCATCAAATCAAATGTCCTCGTAGGTTTGGCGATGTTAATCAATGCCTGGATGAGGTTTCTCTTCGGATTCTGCGGTTGCTTGGAGAAGAGGCTGAGACTCGGCGGCGATGACGGCGGAGGAGAGGAGGAAGGCGGCGGAGAGTCATCGGACTTGTTCTTCGAGCTTCGGACTCTGCAAGTGGCCACCAATTTTTTCTCCGAGTTGAACCAGCTCGGTCACGGAGGATTTGGTCCTGTTTACAAGGTATGTTTCGCAAATTTCAAGTTCGTTTAGGGTTAATTTCGGGAAATCAAAAAAAAAATTCGAAGTTTTCGTGGTTGGGATAGTTCAGTTCGTTCATTTAGTGGATTGTTTTTTTTTACGCGGAAATGATGGATTGTCTAGATTACCCTTCGTAGTTGGTTGCAATAACAGAAACAAGGATGGATCTAGGGGCGGGGCGTGCGGTGGCAGGTCAAAAATTATAAAAACTATATATAATATAATAGTAATTAGTAAGAGAATTATAAAAAAAATGAGAAGTTATATGTGTTTTTGCTTTCCAAAGTTCAAATCCTCATCCATTATTGAACGGAAATAGATTTTGGGTTGGGTTGGGGTTTTCGATAATCTTTAAATATAATATTTAACTTTTTAAAAATTAGAAATATAATATCTAACAAAAGATATAAAGTATGACATTCAATCTTTTATCACTTTTTGCTTTCTTTTAAGCACATTTAGGTCTCGTTTGGCAAGTACCTCTTTTAGTTAAAAAGTCAAAAAATTACTTAAAAAAATTAAAAAGCCAACAATCCATACCAAAAAGGCAAAGATTTTCTTTTCTCTCTACTTTTTGCACATCTTTTCGTAAAAAGTCAAAAAGTCATTCTAAACATACTAGTTTTTTTACAATATATTTTAGTCAAAAAATCAAAAAATTACTAAAAAAGCATGTTCCCAAACGAGGCATTAGTCATTTTATATTGAAGAGTTTTGAATTTCCATGGGTATGCCTACAAAAAAAGTACTTAATCAACAATTGGAGTAGAAAAATAAGTAAAGCCCATGAAGCCCACACCTCGTGCCTCAAAAGCTATCGCCTCAACGCCTTACGTATTGCGCCTCGCCTCAATCTGTTCAAAGCGCAAGGCGTGTGCCTGAGCGTGCCTTTTAAAACACTGGATGATGTGATCCAAATAAATGTATTTATCTGAATAAGTGTACTTATATAGGTTATGTCAAACACTCCTAAGTTATTTATAGATTTATTGACTTATTTCTGTCACATCACTTCTAATACTTTTTACATATTTTTTTGTAATAAGTAAAAAAATAAGCGATGATGTTATGCTTGTTGATTTGAACCATTTGGTACATGCATAGCCACCATATTAATCTGTGTTATTTGATGCTATATTTCCTTGTTGGTTTTCAAAGTTTTTGAGTTCGTTTTTTTTTTAAATAATTTTTTTTTTGTATTTTTGTCAAATTTTTAAATTTTTTTGATACATGGATATTTGTAAAGGAAACTTTTAAAAGAAATGTTCACCACTAAAAAAAAAGGGGAAAATTGTACGTTTTCATATTTTAGTGCCTTTTTTTTTTTGTATAAATATTTTACAACATGTAATTTAAAAGTTAGAATATAAAAATAATAAGAATAAACACAAAAATTCAAAAAGTTAAAAACAGTTTTTATTCGGTCTATGGCTTGGTTAGGGAAGTGAGTTAATTTTTTGATTTTTTAAATTTTTTTGGTTATTTTAGCCTGGAAGTTTAGTTTGGGAAGGGCCTTTAACTTTTTTGACTTTTTTGTGAGATAAAAAATATAATGATTATGAGTTGGACGTGATGTTTCGCTGAAAAATCTATTTTATTTTTTATAACTATTTTAACTCCAAACCTACTTCCCAAACAATGCCTATGATGCATAATTATGCCTTGATGGAAAAATTGTTGTGCGCCCCTGACTGAGTCCCAACTCTCCCAGGGCCCACATGATCGTGTGAATCCTATGAGCTATGGGGTCATGATTGAGACCCCCTCCAACCACCACCCCACCACCCCACACACACGTGGCGGTTGGTGATTGGAGGAGAAGGAGAAAAAAGAAAAAAGAAAAGAAAAAGTGGCCAATCAGGTGAAGAGGGGGTCAAGGGGTTGGGAAAAAAAGGGGATCCGGGTCATTATTGTTCTAATATATGGCTTCTTATTACACGTGTCACGAGTCAAAGACATCACCCTGTTTCATGGATTTTACAAGACACTAACTAAATTCCTTTTGTGAATTTTTATAATTTAATTTTTTTTTTTTTCTAATTTTGCCCTAGTTACGAACTTAGGCCTCGTTTGGGAATAAACTTTTTTAGTAATTGTTTGACTTTTTGGCTAAAATATAATGTAAAAAAAATTAGTATGTTTGTGATGACTTTTTAATTTTTTACAAAAAGATGTACAAAAAATAGAGAGAAAAGAGAAAAAGAATTTTTAATTTTTTGATATAAATTATTGATTTTTTGATTTTTTTAATAATTTTTTAATTAAAAAAACTACTTGTCAAACGAGGCTTGGTATCGATACAAGGTATGCATGCAAGAATGCCCTTTTTTGGGGGTGGTTGTTTACTTCAATAGTATGACAAAATGTTTACACCACTGTGGGAAGTAGACTGTACATCTTGAAGAACAAATCAAATTTGTGTACCGCTTCTAATTCTTTAATCGATTCCGGTGGGTTTCAGTTGGGTTTTAAGACTTTTTTTAACTTTGTTTCTGACTATATAGTAATTTAGTTAGGTTTCATTAGAATATCAATGCGTGTTGAGCTGTATTATTATTTTAAAAAATTATTTCTTTGACAAGTTCTTCCTTGATATAATATTATTTATTTATCCTTTTTGGACCTTAAAAGTCAAGAATTATTTTATAATCATGGGGCAGATTTACTGTGTGTCTGTGAACATTATTAGCCAACATCTTACTTAATTACAGTATGCGCGTATCTTCTTTCGCAAAAGAATTTTGAATTTATTTTATATGAACGTGCAAGACCTTTTAACTCGAAAGGTTATGAATTAAGTTAACTACCAAAAATATATGTTTTCATTATTTTATATTATTAATGAATGTATATGAAAATTATGAATGATTGGTTATGAGAGGCTTGAATATGTACACGCGTAATATTTTTTAATTTTTGCCAACTGTCCTTCATATGTGACAATGACAGGATTTCTTTAATGTTATGTTTGGATTTTCAAAATTATCAATGAAAGAAATTGTTTAGTATAGATATTCAAATTTTTTTTTTATAAATATAGATATTTATTTTTCATCGGTAGGGAAACAAATTTGTGTGTGTGTGTGTTAATTAACTATTGATTTTCTTCACATTTTTCTGAAAAAAATATAATTGAAAGATACAGCTGAAGTTGAGGTCAACACCAAGTTTTAAAACCATGTGTTAGTTGGATGTGGAGCCACCACTTGAATCTTTTACAAGATGGATTTTGCAACTAGTGCAACGGTCTCATTAAAGTCTTTCCTTCAATTTGAATCTAGCCTTATGCAACTAATGTAGCCTTTGTTTCTAACAATGGTACCATGCTCATCCTTTTTGTTTTTTAAAATATATTTAATACCTATTATCACATTAGTATCCTTTTGAAACACCATCCTCACTTTTGTGGTTAGGGTCAAAAACAAAATATTTAATTTTTGTCACAGCCTCACAGGGTACATTAAAAGGTTTGTGACCCTATCAGTTTACGGCTTGTGTTTTATTTTATCCAGCAGTTGTTGATGTAGGACGAGTAAGGACTACTTTTCTACAAGTAGTGAGCTTGGTTTAAATATATCGGTAGCAGCAACAGTAGACTTGTAGGGCTGGATTTGATAGAATTTTATGACCGTTGAAGTATTGAAAAAATAGGAGTTTAAGGGTTTGTAAAAGGGTAGGGTTTTGAAAATGAAAACACAAGTGTTTAGGGACAGTTGGATGGTTGTTCTAAATACTGTGAATAGTGACGTGACAGTAACCTTACTTGATAGAAGAGAGAGAGAGAGAGAGAGAAGTGCTTCACCCTCACAAGGGATAGGCCAATCACACAAACACAATCTCAAATTTTCATAATATTAACTCTGCTATTGAATCATTGAGATTACATATATATTTATAGGTTAAAGACTCCCCTAATTCTACAAGGACTATTACTCAAATTTAGAAATTAAAAATATTTATCAACTACTAATATTCTAAACCAACTATAACTTCCAATTCTACTTCAATCATAATAGGAAACTTAAATGACTTCTAATTCTACTTCAATATCAAAATGGAAAATTTAGACTTCTGAGCACTAAGATTATTTTAGACATAATAAAACCTATATATATATATAATAACTCATTTAATAACTTTACCCCAAATAAAATCCATGGGCAACCTTATAGCCCATGTCCAGCAAAATTGAAATTACCATAATATCCTTAACTAGTAAAACCTACTACAACGATATGAAGACTCAAAATAATTCCAAATCTTTAATTCTTGATGCTCTAAATGTGCTTCATGTGAAATTCCAAATTTGCTCTTTTTCTTTTTTTCATGATCTTCATCAGTTGCTTTACTTAGGTTTGAAACAAAATGTATGGCTGCTAAAATAGCAGCAAAGGAAGCTCCAGTGCTGACAGGGGTTGTGTTAGGAATTTGTGGTGAAACAGATACAGACATTGCTCTTTCTGGACAGCGATTGCTGTTCATTTGGCTAAGAAGTAGGTCCTCTATGCCAGAAGTACTTTAATTGGAAGAATAACTAGATATAAAAGCTGGTTGTGGATATTAGGATACTGTTGGTAAAGGCTTACAGCAATAACAAAGCAGTAAATGTGGCAATAAAGTTAGAATTTAGAAGTTCAAACATTGTTTGCACTGGATTTGTATTTTGTGGGACTTGAGGAGTACATATTTATCTGCACTATACTCTAAATGCAACCCAAGTTAAGAAATTCTGGGAAATCTTTTTGCGTGATTTTTTTTTCGTAGTCTTGCCTGTAGAATCAGCCTCTCAGTATAATGGATGAAGTTTATCTTTTAATCGAGAATAGGCCCTAGGTGGGTGGTGTCCAAAACAAGAAACAGGTATTCAGGAGCTAGTGCAGCTAGAAAGATTGATTGAAAGGCTTCTAGTGTCCAGTATGGGTAATAGCATAGGAGCTCTATGACCATCATTGGATTGTTGGTGGTCACTTCCCATCCCTGTTTTATGTTTATACTTTCTTAGAAACTATTTAGCTCCTCTGTGCTTTGTATGTTATGTATGCTATATTTTCTGAAACCCGTAATGATACCAATTCAACAGTTGGATTTCGATTGCAAATTAATTGACATTTTTCCGGTTCTGTCAAACTAGTATTCGATTCTGTCTTATGTATATTTTTTTTTGTTACAGGGGTTGATGCCAAATGGGCAAGAAGTAGCTGTGAAGAAGCTATCACTGAATTCAAGACAGGGACTGAGAGAATTCACTAATGAGGTGAAACTGTTATTGAAAATTCAACACAAAAACTTGGTGACATTATTGGGATGTTGTGCTGATGGACCTGAGAAGATGCTTGTGTACGAGTACCTTCCAAACAAGAGCCTTGACTATTTCCTTTTCGGTAAAAAAAAGAACCGTTCAACTTTTGATTTTTATCTCCATAGGTGAGATGAAGCTTATTTGGTAATTTGCATGCGAAATTGAAAGATTTCCAATTGTTTCAGATAAAACCAAGTCTCCATCGTTGGATTGGTCGAAACGCTTTCAAATAGTTACAGGCATTGCAAGAGGTCTTCTCTACCTACACGAAGAAGCTCCTGAAAGGATCATCCATAGAGACATTAAAGCCAGTAATATTTTGTTAGATGAACAGTTAAATCCGAAGATCTCAGATTTCGGCTTGGCTAGGCTTTTCCCTGGGGAAGACACCCATGTAAATACATTTCGGATTTCTGGTACTCAGTAAGTAGTTTTTCCTCAACCTCTTTCTGTCCCCTCAACTATTGTACTAACACCAAGGCTATGTTTGGATCTTGGATGAAACAGAAGTATTTTTTTAGCATAACTGTCATCATGGGGACTTTGTTTTCCCTTTTCTAGTCTACATGTCCAATGCTTTCTTGAATAGCTAAAAAGAGTGTACAATAAATAAACAAATTATGTTGTTCAATGCAGTGGTTATATGGCTCCTGAATATGCAATACATGGGTACTTGTCTGTGAAAACGGATGTGTTCAGTTTTGGAGTTTTAGTGTTGGAGATAGTGAGTGGAAGAAAGAATCATGCTAAGGAGCTTGGTGGAGAGAAGGCTGATCTCTTAAACTATGTAAGTTTTCTCGAAAAGTTCTAATGTAATCTTTTTCTTTTTTGTTTGATTGAAAAACTCCGAATATACCACCCCTGCTGACTCATCAAACATAGTGCCCCTGTTGAGGCTTGAAACCTCAACTCCCCTATGGAGCGTGGGGTTAAATGACAGATCTTGCCTATGTAGTGACCAGTTGCATTTTATTGAGGTTTTATTTTTGAACTTTTCCCTCATAAAAATAATAATTAAATGATATTTTTCTGGGGACCGAGTACTCGTCTTCAATTTTGATGATTTGACAAAATAGGGGAGAGTAATTCAACAGACTTGTGTTGCTCTCCCTTCTCGCAGGACTGGACCGTGCTCTTTAACCAGAAAACATTGGAATTAGTTGAACCCCCGGGTCCTTGCAAAATATATTCCAGATGAGGCAGCAATGTGCATTCAGCTGCGGTTGTTATGCGTGTCAAGCAATGTCATGACAGGCCCGAGTATGATCTGTTCTTTTGCTGCAGTCGATTCGTACTTTGGCAAAAACTGGAAAACCCGGCTTCACAAGGCCGAAGCAAGGTGGAATACACACACATTTCTGCACATTTAGTAGCACTAAATCCCGGTAGTACCAACACGCCACACAGGGTTCTGGAGTAGTAGTGTTTGTTGACGAGTTTTAGGAATTCTATTACTATTCTTCCATGGGATGAAGGTTAGATAGATGGCGCCTTCATTGATGTAAAGCTGTGTTATTATTTATTGTAGATTCTTCTATATATAGTTACAGGTAAGAATTCTTTTTTTTTTTTTTAGAGAAACTGTTTTGCATTATTTGTAGTGGAATTTCTGAGGCTTTCTCTAGCAAGTAATAGGTATATTTTACAGAAATTCATAAGTAATGGCTGACTATTTAGTGTTGTAGCTTTTTGTATGATAATATCTTAGTGGATTTTTTATTTTGGAAGTGATTAGATTTATGATGCAAGTTATATTTGTGTGTAATTTTTTATGTGTTTTTTTCTTTCATTACTAGTTAGAGTTTTTAGCTATATAAATATTCATAGAATACTAATTAAGAGTTTTTAAAAGTTATTTCAATTTTTAACTGTTTTATAAACTTTATTAATTCAATTTTAACTAGAAGTTGATATTTGATATTTAATTTTATTTATGGCGAAAACAATTTTATATAGTATCAATTTCAGAAGCTTTTTTTCTTTTTTTTTCTTTTTTCTTTCTTTTTTTGTATGTTTTGATGTTTTTTTTTTTTGAAGTATTGTCTTAATCTTTATTATTTGTAATTTTGACTTTACTAATTATTATACACTAATAATAAACAAAAAAAAGAAAAAAAAAAAGAAGCACTCAAACCAGATGTTCAAATTTTAAACTTCCGAGGACAATGAGGTTATCTTCGTTTGGAAAGAATTATTTTAACTTGACTTTTTAGTATTTTTGCTTAATCTGGCTAAAGCCTAGTTTGGCATAAATTAGTAAGTACACATTTTTCATCTTTTTATTTGAGAATGATTTTTTGATTTTTTTGTAAAATAAAAATTGAAATAATTATGATTTAGATGTAACATTTTATCTTATTGACTTATTTAGTCTATTTTATCTTTTTGTACTTTTTTTAGTTCTAACCTAAATCCAATTCACTTGTCAAATAAGGACTTGAATTTTTCAACCCCGCTAGATAGCTCGAATAAGCTTTGGCTCGAATGGCTCGAAGTGTCAAAAAAACGTCCAATGGCTCGAGGTGCCAAAAAAAACGTCGTTTTAGCACTTTTTTTTTTCGACAATGTTACGTAGCTCAAATTTTGTGGCTCAAAAGTGGCTCAAATGGCCAAAACGACGTCGTTTTGAGTACAGAACAACATAAAAATGGCCAAAACGACGTCGTTTTGGCCGTTTGAGCCACTTTTGAGCCACAAAATTTGAGCTACGAGATATTTTCTTTTTTTTTTTCTTCTTTCTTTTTCTTTTTCTTTCTCTTTCTCCGTCCTCTTTTTCCATCCTCTGTTTTTTTCCTTTCCTTCTTCTTTCTTCTTCTTCTTCTTCTACTACATTGTTGAATGAGACCAAACAAAAAACAACACACACACACACAGAGATATGGGAAGAAGAAGAAGGAGCTGGGTCTGCTGTTGGGTAACATCTTCATCAACAAATTTTTTTTTTCTTCCCCTTCATCTTCAGATCAAACATCATCATCATCTTCATCATCATCATCATCATCATCTTCTTCAACAGAAATTGTAGGTAAATAAATAAAAAAAATTCAAAGAAGAAAGAAGAAGAAGAAGAAGAAGAAGAAGAAGAAGAATCACTCAAACCCAAAACCAAACCCAAAAATCAAAACCAAAACCAAACCCAAAAATCAAAATTCAAAACCAAAAATCAAAACTAAACTCAAAACCAAACCCACAACCACAAATCAAAATCGAAACTGAAACCCAGATCAGACAAAATTAAACAAAAATAAGTTCAAAATCAAACCTGGTTCGTCGTTTGTAGAGAGAGAAAATGAGGAGGAAAAACAAGGGAAGATGAGGAGTGATCAGAGAGAAATGAGAGGTGAGAGTGATGAGAGCTGAATGCTTTTTTGCTTCCAAGAATAGAGATAGACAAGAGAGGAGAGGAAAGGAAAGAGATGGAGAGGAGAGATAAAATATTTGGGCCACTCGACTCTCAGTTTTTCGAGTTACGGAACATTTTTGTAAATTTTTTAAGTCCAAAAAGATATTGATTTATCAAAAATGACATCTATCTATTCAAAATTTACCTAGTAGTGTGGACTTTTCACTAATTAATTTATCTAAAAAACTAGCAGAAAAAAATTAAATAATCTCCACAAATTTGAGAAAATAAATTGAAAGTAGATTTCTTTATTAAGACGACGGTGCCGTAACTGTTGATTACTGGGATTAACAGTTGGCCACATGCAAGTCTGTGCCTTTTCTTTTTTTTTTTTGATTCAAATGAATGGAGCTGCTGCAGAGCTCTAATTAGAGCTCCTGCAGTACAGTTCTAATGAGCTGTCCAGTAATATAAAAAAAAAAAATAGTGAAGTAAAAGACAAAAAAGAGAGAAGAAAAAGACAAATTAAAGCACTATTAGAGGTCTTTTTTTAGAGATCTAAATCATTTTTCTTCAAATGAAAGGTTAAAGATAAGGTATACAGTTGCAGTCCTGGGATAACTTAATCCCTGCTAGAGTTAGCATTTCTCATATCAGTGATTAAGAAGGAAAAGATGAAACTCGGTGGATCTTCTAGAAAAATGGTATGTTCTTGTTGGTTGACATCTAGGTTGGCCATAGAATCTGCACTATGGTTAGCGTCCTTAGGAGTAGGGGTGTGTGCGGTGCGGGTCGGTGCGGTGCGGTTTAGGAGAAAAATAGAAACCGTATGGCGGGTGACGGATTGATAAAAATGTCATTAAAATTTGCCATTTTTCTTATCAAAAACCGGCTGTTTGGTTGGCAAATAATGACGGATTTGCCTTGGCGGATTGGCGATTTATAAAAAATATAATTAAAATTACAAAACTTGAATCAAAGAGTAAAAAAATCTAATTTATAAATTAACTGAAATAGTCAAAATTAAAATATTTGAACAAAAATAAATAAATAAACTGAATGATAAGTAAATAAATGAAAATTATCAATGATAATAATAAGTATATATAAATAAAAATTATAAACAAAAGAAAGAGAGCACATTCTGTATTGTCTTTACTGATGTTCAAGGGGAAACAACAGAAGTCGGAACAGAATATCAATTACCCATCTCATATTTGAACAAAAACTGATTACCAAAAATGAAAATTATCATGCTGCTTTCTGAACCAATGGGAAAATATTGAGCATTGTAATTCAAAGGGAAAAAAACAAAAATGATTTGTGAGGTTGTCTGGAATATGAACTTTTAAGCACAAAATTTCACAAATGAAATAAGTAGTAAACAGGGAATTCAAAGAAATCATAGATAATGAATTGGCCATGGTTTATGACTACTACAGATTTACAGCCTTGCATTATCATAACCTCTTTATGAAATAGTATCACTGATGTTATATATATATATAGAGCAGGTAGATATATATAGAACAGAGAGAACATTAAGAGAGAGAGAGCGAGAGAGAGAAGTAAGAGTACCGACGAGTCAACGATAACGAGAAGAGGCTAACAGCGGTGAGCCGATCGACAAGGGAAGGAGAAACCAGCGGCGACAGTGAGGATATGCAAACAACGGTGAGTCGATCAGCACAACAATGGTGATGAATCTGTGTGTGTGTGAATTGATGAAATTGAAATGTGTGGGTATTAGGTTTAATGGAGGAATTATTGTGTGTGTGTGTGAGTGTATAACAGATGAATTATTATTATTTTTTGAAACATAAGCGGGTCGATTCGGTTTGACTTGAGGGTTGGGAAATTTCACCCGCCACCCGCGTCGACCCGCCAGCACTGGGCGTCTCACCTGCTCAACCCGCCTGCCATAGTTGAAATTTTGCGCGGTTCGGAGTGATTCGGTGCGGTTTTGGTGGTTTTGACGGTATTATGCACAGCTCTACTTGGGAATGGCTTGGATTGTGCATTGACATCTCTTTAAGAGGAAGTTTGGCATCTTCAATGATTGCTCTATAAGGTGAGTTCATTTCTGCTACATCTCGAATAAGCTCCATAGCTCTCTGTGAATCTGTCTCGATTGCAATGTTGGTCATCCCCTTCTACATGATGATTGTTAAATCTCTGTAGATACCCCAAAGCTCAGCCTCCAGGCTACCCAGGTTCCAACTTCATCTCTGAGTAGCCCTCCATATCTTGAATGTCTAGGGTTTCCTTTGAAGCTGTCATCCGTGTTCAGCTTGAGCTTACCTGCAATAGGACAAGACCACATCATTAGTTTAGGATCTTTGAAATTTGGGTTCAGGATGGCCTGGAAGGCGTCCTGGGTTTCCGTGGCTTGTTGTTAAGATGGAGTTAACACTGATATGGATAGGCTGGAAGAGGTTGTCGAACATTTCCTTGTTCCTCTCTCTCCAAATGTTCCAGATTGCTATCAAGAACAT